GAAGGAGCCCGTTTGTAACTGAGACTTAACATATGTTCAGAGGCTTGACTAACGGGTTTCCAAACATAGGCTTTGCTATCAAGGATTTTTACATATATGATTCTATGATAACATTTCTTCGATCATCCAATCCAGGTATTCCAATTCCTAGTATCAATTTAATATGATAAAGCCTCCAATTTAGACATTTTGCTTTAAACTACAACTTACTTCCACCGTTTACTCATCAGATTTATAATGAACACAGACCGTATACCTTAAGAAATGTCAGTGTATATGCCTAACAGACTGAGACAAAACGTGCTGATAGCTAAAATAGACTGACATTTGTATATCATTTTACATGTTAATGAGTTAAAAAAATTTAATATGATAAAGTATCAAACATAGAGATATTGCATTAAACTTCGTACAACTTACTTCCACCATTTTCCATCAGCTTTATATTCAAGACAGACTGTATACCCTAAGAAATGTCTGTGTACATGCCTAACCGACCGAGACAAAACTTGCTGATAGCTAAAGTATACTGATATTGTAAAACATTTTACATGTTAATGAGTTAAAAAATTTCGGGTGAGTTACTCTACGAGGTGCGCTGGAACAAGACTGCAGCAGTCATGCATAGGCTGAGATATGGCACCAACGATAGAACTGAAACTAACCCAAACTGAAGCAACATTTGACAAATGTTAGTATCCATTCAACCTTCACTTTGACATCAGCTGAACAAATGCGCAGAAACTGTTTTAAGTCTTAAGGAAAAACAAAAACATCAATCAAACAACTGACAGCCTGGATAAAGCAAGAAATGCAATCAGAAAATGCAACCACTGTAGCATAAGAAGGCAGATATCAAGTCACATGATAAGTTTAATTCAATATCCTCATCTAAAAACTATTAATCCTGTTAGAAATAATTAATAAGTAGAATAGTAGTAGCTCTAGCTAAACAGAATACAAGCAAGGACAGCGATACCAGAATAGAAAGACTGCTGTAAACAATTTTTTATACAGGATCATATAACCATAATAAGCAGATTATGCTGGTAGTGTCTCACTGGCAAAATGTTCATTACCCCAACCAGAAAATTTCACATTACCTGCAATGTCGATGTCTTCTAAAGAAATGGCTACCTCAAAAAAAATTCTTTAATGCGCAAAAACAGTGTCATTTCGTCTAGGTGGTCTGTCAGGAATCGTTCCTGGCTTGAATTTTGAAGCTTCGTGCCTTGCCAATTCAGGTGGAACAGGACTGTTACTTTGAACGAGCATCTGCTTGAGGTCATAAAAGACATCACTGTCCTGAAGAGTCAAGAATGTTGTAGCCACACCCGTCTTTCCTGCACGACCAGTACGCCCAATACGGTGAGTGTACGTTTCAATATTCCCAGGCATATCATAGTTGATAACATGAGCGACATCAGGTATGTCAATCCCACGTCCGGCAACGTCAGTGGCAACAAGAACATTATATCTCTTGGTCCTAAACCCCTCAAGACTAATCTCTCTCTGCTCCTGCGACTTCCCTCCATGCAAAGTGGTCACGCGATACCCTTCCTTGTCCAAATTCTTCGCAACCATATCCGCATTCTTTTTGGTGTTGACAAACACGATCGCAGTCTTGTCGTTAAGCTCGTCAAGCAATCTCTGAAGCTTGTAAAATTTCTCAGACTCCTTCATCATGATCACATGCTGGCTGATCAAATCAGTTGCCTTTCCAGCAGTGCCGATGGTGACCACAACAGGGTTCCTCAAATACTTCCTTGCAAGCCTCTCCACAGCAGGGGGCATTGTGGCGCTGAACATATAAGTGGTCCGGTAAATCTTCTTCTCATCAAGCTCCTCATCTTCATTCTCCGGTTTGAGATTGCTGGAAGGCATGGCATCAAGGACACCCATCACCTGGGGCTCAAACCCCATGTCAATCATGCGATCAGCCTCATCAAGAACAACATAATTGCACTGGTTTAGAACAGCATAGCGCCGTTCCAAGCAATCAATCAAACGTCCAGGAGTGGCAATGACAATCTCACAGCCCTGCCTGATCTTAAACCCTTGCTCCTCAATGGATTGCCCACCAACAATGGACACCACTTTGATTCCCAAATACTGCGCAAACTTAACAGTCTCATCCTCAATCTGCTGCGCGAGCTCGCGAGTGGGGGCCATGACAACAGCATAGGGACCCTCGGCGTCGTTGTCCTCACTCATGGGAGGAAGTCTGGTGATGTAGCTCAACATGGGAAGCACAAACGCCGCGGTTTTCCCGGAACCAGTCTCAGCAATGCCAATGACATCACGCTGCTGCAAGCCAAGGGGAATGGCTGCCATCTGAATAGGAGAAGGGGTTTTATAGCCAGCCTTCTCCACAGCTTTCAAGAGCTCCTGGCTCAACTTGCTCTCGATCCAGCTCCTCATGGGGCGAGGAATCTTGGAACCCTTATAGGAGATGTTGTAGTCTTCTCTGAAGATGCGCCAATCCCTCTCGGTCATCTCTTCGAGCTTCTTCTCGCTCCAGTGGCGGTCCACTCGCATGTCGAAGGTGTCGTAGAGATCGGCGGCGGCCTCCTTGCGGCGCTGAGCGTCGGCCTCCTCGGGCTTCTCCTCGAGGCCGTCCTTCTTGCGGATTTGCTCGCGCATCTCTTTCTCGTTCTTGGCGGCGAGCTTCTTCTGCTCACGGCGATCCATGCCAGCACGGAAGCCGCGGCCGAAGAGGAGCTGAGCTTCGTGGGGGTTCTGGTAAAGAGCGTTCATGTCGCGCGAAGTGTCCTCCGTGTTCTCCCAGTCGAAGGAGAACCGGAACTTCTCGCTGGGCTTGATCACGCGCTTCTTGGGCTTCTTTGAGCCCAGGTACTGCTCCTTGATGGACTCAAGCTCCTTCTCGCGCTCGCGCTCCGCGAGTTTCTCCAAGCGAGCTCGCTCGCGTGCCCGGGTCTCCTCTTCACGCTCCCTTTCTCTGTTGCGGCGCTCGGCCTCGCGGTCCCGGTCACGTGCCCTCTCGCGCTCCGCGAGTTTCTCCGACCGAGCTCGCTCACGGGCCCGGGTATCCTCTTCGCGCTCCCTCTCTCTGTTTCGGCGTTCAGGTTCGCGGTCCCGGTCCCGGTCACGTGCCCTATCGCGGTCTCTGTCCCTGTCTCTGTCGCGGTCGCGCTCCCTGTTGTCACGGTCTCTGTCCCTTTCTCTGTCTCTGTCTCTATCGCGGTCGGAGGAGGGTTTGGGATCGGAGGAGTGGTTGTGGGAAAGGAGCTGCTCCTGGCGGCGCTTCTGCTCCGCGACTTCTTCCTGGCGACGTTGGAGGGCCAATTGCTCGCGTTGGGCTTTGGTTAGGAACGTTGGCTTCGCCGTTGAGGGGTTGGCAACGTCGTCGTTTAGGCGCTTCATGGTGGCAACGGTTCTGAAATAGTGATGGAGAAAGAGAAATAGAGTGAGTGAGAGATCGCTTGGGTAATTGCAGGAGGGGAGAGGGGTGAAGAGTGAAGACACAAACAGCAAAACCACCTCGGATGGGATTCGGATACACTTCTATGGATCCTCCCCTACTTTTCTCCTTCTCTTTTCTTTAGCTTCCACACCACAACATCTTTTGTTTTTCTTATTTCCATTTTCAAAATTCAGAGAAGAACAGAAGGCCCAATTTTCTTCCATATTTGGGCTACTCAAGGCCCAACGTATTTTTATTTCAAAATTCATTTTCTTACTTACTTTTCTTCTTGTTATAAACAGCACATATTAAAAGTCACTTTCTTTTCTCTTTCATTACTTTAGTTTTCGATTGATAGAAAAATTAAGTGAAAAAAAATCATTTATTCTTTTAAAGCAATTCTTTTAGTTATTTTTCCTTTTTTTAAAAGAAATGTTATTGTTTTCTCATTATCGAAGAGAAAGAAAATATTATAATTTTTTTAGCAAAATTTTAAGTTAAATAAACCTCTCTTTTTTTTTCACAAACTTTAATATATTTTGAATTCCAAATTTTAAAATTAAATAAATAGATATAATCATTCTAATTTAATCAAATTATATGTTTTCATGTGTTAAATGATATTTCAAACTAATACTTGAGTTAAATAGCTCAAACTTCTAAAATATTATTTTATAAATAAAAAAATTTAACATAATTAAGTCAAAATGAATATATTTATTTATTTTTAAAATTAAGTATCAAAACGAAATTCAATTTTGTGTCAAAAACTAACAATATATATTAACTCTAAAATTTAAGTTATAGACTATTTTGTGTTCATCTCTTTTTGTTTCTCATTACAAGTACTTGAAGTGAAGTCCATATAAAAAATGATTTTTTTAAACAAAATTCATGTATGATGTTAAATGACAAAAGCCTAAGATTGGGGAGTTTTCGATTTTTTTTTTCACCCAAATATCACATTTCTGTTTCAAATTTAAGATTAGTATGAATAGTGGAAAACAAAATTATAAAAATTCATAATCATTCAAAAACTAAAACTCAACATTATATTACATAACCTAAAATCTTAAAATAATGAATATATAAAAAATAATAAACCTACAGGTTTTTTCATTTATAATTTAATCAATTTTCCAATTGACGATTTAATTCTTAACCGTAATTAAAGGTGAAAGATGCAGTTGCTTGCTTTGCTAAATATGTCGTGGAGATTATACCAATAGCTCTTGTGCTATATTCTTAGTTTATGTTAATTCGGACTCTGCCCTTTGTTCACAAAAAGATAACATCAAAACATAAAAATCGAACGTAAATACTTCATACATCAACTGTCAAGTAAATAAACTATTCAACATCTCAAATAAAGTTCACGAACTACTTCTTTAGAATTCAAGTAAGAAAATAAGTTTCATTGAATAGAAATATAAAAAGCATTACATAAAAACGAAAAATTTATTAATTTATTATTTTAAGATTTTAAATAGAAAATAATACTTGTGTCTTTATATAATTGGATTCATATCTTATTGGTATTTGTATTTTTCGATCAAATAAACCCGATATATACGTAGAGCAAAAACTTTTGTATATATGATTATATATTCTTAATAACACTTGATCTACCTAATCTCTGGTGATGATGGACCTAAATAAGCATACCCAACTGGACATAAAATGCTTCAATGGGAGAAATCCCCCGAATTCATTTATTTCCTGCGAAGCTGTTGAACTTCCGTTGTCTGTGGAGAAGCACTCACTCATCTGGTCTATCACTTCTCTCCCTTCACATATGATTTTTACATCACAACTTTCCTCTGCGTATTTTAGTACCGTGCCCGCTATGCCACTCTTCCTTCCAAATACACATTTTCTACTAATCCAAATAATCAAACAATCACAAAATGATCTTAATTCATACCAATTTACTTATATATTATGCATCTCAGACACGCTACCTTAAATCAGATCTCGAAATTCCGACAACCACTTTTCTTATATTAAGATTTCCAACATGCTCCATGATCGCTTTAGCAACATTGTCACCCTCAATCAGCATCATCTCCACCTTAACCTGTACATAACAGTAATGCAATATATATATACATATATATATACACATAATCAAAGCGTAAGAAACCATCTTTTGTGTTACGTTTTTACAGGCAAAGGATTTAATTACATATTTACCTTAGAATGAACGCAGAGGTCAATGAACTTTTGAAGTAGCAATTTCCTCTTGGCTCTCTCTTGTGCCAAGTGCATGTTAGCATACTCTTCGTTAACGCGACTCCTCGGAATTTTCCCTACTGTTGAATAAGTATTTGGTTATAAACTTACAAAGCAACAAATCAACACTCTTTGACATATCTGTTTCTGATGTTAACTTTAGATTCTTGTGGAATCATACATAACATTGAAAGATGAGTTCACGCGTAAACCTGTGTTATACGGGGAAAGGGACTTGTTTGACTATGAACACGGAGCATGGAAAAACGAGGAAGAGAAGGACAAAAAAACGGGTAGAGGTTAATTACATGGACTTGGAATGAGCTTGACTTGAGGGAAAACGTGTAGAAGACGAACTACGGTGGCAGAGGGTGTCACGGCGTGTTTCAAGGCCCACGAAAGAGCTTCCATGCTTGGACTGGAATGTTCATCGTTGTTGCCTACTGCCACATAAACAACATCATCGTCGTCATCATCATCATTGTTACAGTTGTGGATATCAAGAGAGAACACAGTGCTCTCGCAGTCTTCTCGTATGGTATCCAAAACCAAAGGCTCCTTCAGATCAATCTCAAACAGATCCTCCGAATCTGAATCTACCATCTCGCTGCAATCTATGACTTGGTTTCTCTTGAACCCTAAAAAACCACGTCTAAAGCAACTCGAATTTTCTTCATCCTGCTCCCTTTCCGAACCCATCGTCTTCCGATTTCTCAACTAATTGCTTGGGTTGTGTTGATGGATCAATATATATATATATAGTTGACTGTATAATTATGTTTGGACAAAACTAATTTCATAAAATAAAGTACACGTGGCTATGTTGTAACATGTAGGACACATTACCTTTGTCAGTATAAGTAAGACCTTTTATTTGAAAGTTATAGGACGTTAAGGAGACCTAATAGTTTGAGACTCTCTTTAGTCTCTTACTTTCTCTTTACAACTTCATACACTATTTTTTTTATTTAATAATTCAATTTAAATTTACTATATTATTTTAATATTTTATTCTTAAGCATGTTGTCGAAGTACTTGTTATGAACAAACCAAATGAAACTTAAAACAAATATTAATAAAAATTATATCAAAACAATATATATTATTTTAATTCATCGTTTTGAAATAAATAAATACCAAATTTACAAGTCTTAATTCAAATTTCTTCAGCTTCAAAGTTTAAACACTAACCACGAGTTTGAATATGAAATTTCATAATTTATAACCCTTTCATTTTGTTAAACAATTTAAATTTATTTAATTTTTTAAAAAAATAAATTATTCCAATTATTATAAAAGACAAAAAAAATATTTAATTATCGAACAAATAATTAATAATTAAAAATATTTAGATCTTATGCCAGAAAATAATCTTTTTCTTATCTATTAGTGAAATGAGTGTTATATTTTTTTATGATAACCAAAAATATATATAACATGTTTACAAAGCTTCTCCTCTTCACTTATATATTGCTAATTTATCCTAGCTAAAATTGCTTGATACACACACACTTCCTACTTTGTGAGGAGGCCGTGTGTTTAAAACAGAAGAAGCTCAATGTCTTCTTGGTTGAATCCATTCCTCAACCTTTAACATATTCTTAACTTCTTTTTTGTTACATTTTTTATAAATATGGATAGATTCTAGGTAGTCTTAGCCATATATTATAGCAATATTTCTTTATTTTTTTTTTTGTCATTTCTGTTGTCCTTGCTATTACTTATCTAATAGGATCTCTATTACTTATCTAATAGGATCTCTATTACTTATCTAATAGGATCTTATCTTGTATATATTATTGTTGTTTAATTTTATCTTTACACCTTTGTCTTTTCTCTTTTAATGTTTATGCCCCAAAAACAGATGTTGGGTTTGTAGTTGCGCACCTATTACAAGGGTTTATTAATTTCTTGAACACATTTCGTCGGGAGAGCTTTCTACTGCATCTTCCAACAATTTCATATCGGTTTCCACCACTGTTTATATTCACTTAGCATGTTATATATAAACCTTCTTCAAACTTCACGAATATATCTCTTCCGATGTGACGCGATTAGCTTAGCAAAAATTATAAGCAATGAAATCAACCAAAAGTTAATCTCAAACATCACAATTATGTGGAACTTTTAAAGTTTTTGAGTGGAATTCGTCAATGTTGACCTGGTCGTTTGTAAATTATTAGAGTTGACTATTAAAGTCGTGTATCCATGCTTTTGTTGTGTATAATCACAGGTGAGAAGCATGAAGGAATATGCCTTTTGTGGTGAGGTAACCAAGGACGCGTTACACATCTCAAATAAAGTCAAATCAAATGCTTTGTTTGATATCAACGATATTTTATGTAATGACAGAATGAACACCAGTGTCTGATGACAGAATGAACAACAAAGTAATTGAATTGTTCAAAGTAATGAATTTTTCAGAAGCTACATAGGAGTCAAAGAACTTGACTGAGCTACATATCTATACCCTTTTGCTACACTTGAAATTAAACAGGCTAATAATCATTTGAACTTGAGTATGAAACAAATGCATGAAACTGAATCATGGTTATCTTCTTTCTTTTGGCTAGTCATGGAAGTATGGTTAGTGGGTGACATCATCATCTGCTCATTTACTTCCTTCCCTTCACATATAATTCTCACCTTGCAACTTTCTGGTGAATTTCTCAGTATCTCATCGGCAACACTATTATTCCCTTTCCTTGATTTTGATTTTCTGTTAATCAAACATTGTATATTAATTAGTGCTGAATAATTAGCTTGTATGGTGGTATGGTCGTAATTAGTGGTGTACCTCAGATGGAATTTGTTGGCTCCAATGACTAGAGTTTTTATCTGAAGAATGGGAATGAGGTCGAGGATAGGCTTTGCAACCAGGTCACTCTCAATCAGGATGGTGTCTACCTTAACCTGTTCTGGATATATAAGGTTGTTCATTTGTTTCTTGGTTTCATTGGAATTGAATGAGGATTTGGTTGCATTGGGTTTAACTATAGAATTAGTACCTTGGAAGAAGAACATGATTGTAGGAACTTCTGAAGGAGCTCTCTCCTCTTGCCTCTTTCTTGCTCAACATAACTCTCCACCTGCTCAACACTCACTTCATTCCTTGGAACCATTCCTACTCCCACTGTCATCACAATCACACAAAAACATAGCAGCAAATATAGACAGATAGAGCAAGAAAGAGAGATGGAAAATATGTGATGACTTACGGGGATTTGGAATGTGTTTGATCTCAGGAAATACATGAATGAGAAAAATGATGGTAGATTGAGTAACCAAGTTGTTGAGTGTCCATGAGAGAGCGTGCATGCTTGTGTTGCTCTTACCCACTGCAACATAAACACAGTCTTGTTCTTCTTGTTCTTCTTTTTCTTCTTCTTTCTCCTCTTCCTCCTCTATCTCACACACGCTGCTGCTTTCTGGGTACTCCATCTCCATCAACCACACACCTTCACTGACTTTAACATCCCCATGTGTAGGGTTGGGTTTAAAACAAGAGTATCAGATTGTTGAATTGTTAAGGTAATAAACAGTGTATGGAAATAATATATCAAAGTTTTATTCCAAAGTATGAAAGAATTCGCTTCTTACACACAACAACTTACCCTTAGTTTTCTTGTTGTTTCTCTAAATCTATCTTAAACCTAAACAAATCCTATAGAAACATGTTGTATAGGAAATAACAACTTTTGACTCCCCTTCTTAAATGTTAGCCCAATACAAGGGCTTTTATTGCGAAACCTGGACACGAAGCATGTTATACAAAACCTATAAATTAAACTTTTGTTGTCACGTATATGTATTACAAAGTATCATTGCCTTAATTTTAATTTTAGTATTTACCTATGTCTCTTTGATTTTTTATTTAATCCAAATTTTTCTTAAAATAGAACAATATTATCCATTTTCAAATTGAGACAAATTTTTTTATTTATATAAATGTTACACTTAAACTTTTATTAAAAATGATTTTTAACATATTATATTATTATATATATTAAAAATTTTGTTAATCATGTTTTTTTATTAGATTAAAACTAAGTATGAATATTTTTACAAAAAAAAATAAGTATTTAAAATTAAAATATTATTAATCCATATTTTTTTACAAAAAAAATTAATTAATATCATTTATACAAATAATAAATTTGGTTCTCTTTTAAAACACATTAATCAACTCTATACATTATTTCATTAGACAAGTCTTCTAATATATATTAGACAAGTTTGTAGTCTAATACACATTACACAGTGTATCATATAATGATTATATAAGTTTAACAACATATTTGACAATACATTGATTAGATGAGTTTAGTAATACACATTAAACGAATTTCTTTATACATTGATTTGTATTTTTAATAAGTTTATTCTACATATTTTTGTTTATTTTTTATATTTTAGAGAAACTAATATATTTTTACACATGAGTTATCTTTCATCTTTTTACAAACTCTACTATTTATATTTATATATTACACTTATTTTTAAACTTATAAATAAATTTTGGTTGATTCATTTAAAACATAAATATTATTTTCCCAATCTTTAAACATCTTTTAATAGACATAAAAACAAATAACGAAGCACAGGTTTAAAATTAGTTTATAAATAAAAAAGAATGACACCTACCTAACTTTCCAATAGTATATATAACTACTACATAAATATTGTATTTATATTTGTCGATTTTTTTATTCTATAAAAGGAAAATATATTTTATAAAAGGTCCAATTTATCTTATTTAAACTTTACTATTTCTATTTTATTTTAAAATATAAATAACTAAAGATGACAATGTAGAAAAACCAATTATATATATATATATATATATATATATGTGTGTGTGTGTGTGTATCACCTATAAATTTCCAATCATTTATACAATTTAATAAGTGGCTAAATATAAAAACAAAATTTCAAAGCTAAATTTAAATTTCCAAACATCTCATTGTGAATAAAATAAACTATGTTCATCCATTTTGTTTCAACAAAATATTAATAACATCTCTAATATATTATGTTAAATATCATAATTACTTTTAAGATATATAAATTATCTCTAGTTTTATCTTTATGGGTTGAGGATCCATCGTTCTATCTTTAGTTTGCCTTTATAATATTACAATTCGTAGGTTTTATCATTTATGTGTTATTTAATTATTTTCCGCTTTTATTGAAAACCCTAAACATTGCCTTCACACTTAAATTTGTGCATTCTTTTTCTTTTCTTAAATCATTGAATCATATTTAAATAATTCAACTAAACAAACAAGAAGAGACTAGAAGAATATTGAATTACTAATATATATATATATATATATATATATATATAAAAGACCAAAAAGAATGTAATATACCCTTTAAGAATGGAATGACCATCGAGAACACAGAAAAAACTCAGATTATTTTTTTTATCAGCAGAAAAAAATTCAAAGATAATAAAAGTAATTATATAAACTAAAAAAGATTAGAACATTATACATCTCCTAAACATTTTACCAATATCCCTTCCAACATTTTACATTGCTTTTATATTTTATTCTAGGTATTATTATTTTGATAACCAACAAATTTTACACATAATATTTTATTCTTTAATCTCTTTTCTCTTTTAAAAAAATGATCATAATATTTCTCAAAGTGGAGTTTAATGTTATTGGTTAAATGTTTGGTTTTCGTCAATGATGAATCTCT